GCGAGATTGGTATTGATTAGAGATGTTCCGAATTGCAGACACTCGAAAAAGTCAGTTTTAGGTAAAAATAGTCTTTTTACCTAACAATAGATTACGCTGGTCGGGACATGTGCTACGCATGTCACCAGATAGGTTGCCACGGCGAGCCATGCTTGACGAAGCAGGTAGCGGTTGGAAAAAATGAAGGGCGGTCAAGCTAAGACCTGGCATGAGGATATGAAAACCCTGACCAGAAGACTGGCTGACATAGGTCCCGTTAAGCTCCCCGGCTGGGAACCCAGAGATCACGGTCATCGGTGGTTAGAGACACTGAGTGATATGACTGGGTGTTACAAACAGTGGCGTTCGTGCATCCACTCATTACTCCCCTTATCACTTTTCTACATTAATCCTCCATCTTCCGCTTGAATTTCTTTTCAACATCCCAATTATCATTCTGCTCTTTTATCCAAATGGGGCACCAAAAACAGCAACCAAAACCGGGGCACGAAAGTGCATGGTTAATGGTTGTAAAAACTGAAACTGTTGCTGGATCAACCCAGTGTTGTAGTAGCATTTTACACTTTAAAGGTGCAAAACGTCTACCGAACATGACTACATTTGCAATCAAACTTTCTAGAAAAGCTTGTAACTTACCTGGATCTCATAAGACCCTAATTTGACGTCCTAATTTTGTTTGCCTGTGTACCGAACGCTTGTACATTCATTTTCTCGCCAGAACTGTCTTCTTTAATTTCAGTTCATTTTAAACTAACCATTTTTGACAGGAAAGATTACCTGTGATTTCGGTAACTAAATATTTTTCTCCCATAGTTTTCGATTTAGGTAGTTTATTAACCGTTTTATCTCTTTTTAATGATAGAACTTCGATCGTGTCATAGGAATTGAGATGGTCCCTTCGGCAGTAGCAGACGCAAAGGAGAATATGGCTCTCAACGGTAAATTGTTTTCTCATTTAATTTCAGTAGTATGGAGCAGATGTGTCAGGTATTGTTTGTGATGTGTTCTGATGAACTCACTGCCTTAATCCGGCTCTGTTCGCTTCGATTCACAGGCGTGAAGAACGTCCAGTTCTACGCTAATAAAGCAGAGGACGTGATCCGGGATGTAATCAACTCCCTGTCAAAAGAATGTGATATTACCGTAGTTGTTGATCCTCCTCGTGCTGGCCTACGTGAGTTCGAATGATTATTGTGTACAAAAATTTCTTATGTAAGGGCAATACTGGCACTTCCTTTGAATAATTTGAACTAACCGCATTGATCCTGCCCATTTTGCTGTTATGGTTAGTTCTGCTTATCACTTGGTTGACCACACTTGTTTCTGTTGTCCTGACTTAGAGTCAAAAAGCCCAAGCGATCCACATTGTACCAAACTACACGTGTTGTGCAATACTTTCTAGACAGTCTGGCAGATTTTCTTTCTATTATCAACCTGAAGTAGATCAATCATTTCACTATTTAAATCACGGAAGCCTTCGCATTACTATGAGAATGTTTCTCGTTGACGACATATCAGTTCAAGTTGAAGCTTAAGTGTCGAACATTGGGCAGTGATCGCAAATTGTCTTATCACCGTATGGTCCGCTTTTATCTCCATGTATGCATGCAGTTTTCTGTTCACAAAGCTGTTCTGTTTTTATCTTGTCCTTTATAGACACGTCGGTAATTCAAGCCCTCAGATATTGCACCCGTCTTCGACGCGTCATATTTGTTTCATGCAATTTGGAGGCAGCAACGCATAACTTTGTCGAGTTAGTCACTCTTTCTTTCATGGTGTTTTTGAAATCTCTTTTTTGAGTACAGCGAGGTCATTAGATTCGAAAAACAAAAATGATCATATCATAAGAGACAGGGAGCTCTGTCAGTTAGTGTGAACTCAGTTGTGATTCTCAAATGCACATGCATGCTATCTCTCTCCGTTTCTTGAGTGCGATTGTAGATCTATGTACTGACTAAATCAGACATTACTGATATATCATAGAGTCAACAATTTGTTTCGGAAACAAAAATATACATTGAACTTATTCACGCTTATATTATACTATCCAGCTCCACCAAGATATGATACTATAGCTTTAAAAGAGATGTTGGAAATCCTCAGTAAAACGGCGCTCAGCGTCATTAGTATATCTCCGGGGTAGACACGGATATACAGTCTCCTGTAAGTCAAAATAAGCTTTATCCCGGTTTCGGGTTGTTGCTTATTCCAGGTTTACTCAAATAAGGCTCCAGTGCAACCATTGTACTCCAGCTTTTACGGTTCCTAATTTTTTTCGTGGTTAATTCATCCTCTAGTGAATCCATTGTGGCCCCCACTGATCGAGGCCCCTAAAAGTTGTCCTCATGTATGCTATTCTATCCGAAATGGCGATTTCTTAAATGAAGGCTAATCGTTTGTACTGTAGTTTCGTTGGTGGGATCAGAATTCCTGTCCACGACTATCCTTGGTTTCATCTTCATTCAATCATGTGACTCGATTAATCTTTCTGCTATCCAGGTCACTTCAGTGATACTCAATTAATGTTTCTTATTTGTTCTCGAAGTTAACAAACTAGAAAACAGCGAAACTTGCTGTGTGATTAGCATACTCGGCGAGCAAATCAACCACTGAGCTTCGTGGGTTATTGGAATATTATTATTCATTTGAGCGAACATCCGACGATCAAAATCCACCCACAGAACTCGATTCACCATGAACAATCCAAGTGTCACTACAGCACAACAGTGAAACTAGTCCGACTATAACCTTGCATCCTGGTCTAACTGTACACACCTTCGATCAAGGCTGGCGAAATCTCGCCTATACCAACAATACATGAGCAAGATATTTTCTTTGATCAGCCCCGTTGTCTTTGATTTGTTGGCACAGATTAATGACCATTTTCCTGATGGTGCTTTTTAACTGCACAATGTTTTGTCCATTATCAGAGAGCAATTTAAGTCAAACTTATTAGAGAACTTGAATCAGTTAAATGACTCTTTCACGTTGTGTGATTCCATGCTCGGGCCGGGACGGAAGTGCAGTTATTCGCTTTATGTAGTAACAGACCTCCAACGAAACACTCCTGTTAAATTAATGTTTCCGCATCATCCCGTGTTTCACTCAGGTTTGCTCGGCCCACATCGAATCGCTTCCGTGGTTCTCCTTTCATCCCGGTATTCACCAAAGCCGTGGACCTATTTCCGCAAACACGCCATGTGGAAGCCCTCATCCTACTTGAACGTGTCCCAGAAGCGAGCAAACAGAAGGAACAGAAATCATAATCGACAATGAAATCGGCTGGTTCACAGTTTACTCCAAGCATTTACGAACTATAAACAAAATGCTAATTTTTTGTACTTCATTGTTTTACCCTCGATAAAATTCGAATGATGCGCTCTCCGGCGAGTTTAGTGTTTATTTTTCACTGTTAACTTGCGACATGGAACAAAACAAATTTGATTTCCATGCCGTTGCTTGTTGCTATGAAACCGTTCCATCGGTTTCCACATTCACATATATTTGGTACTTACAACGAATACCTGTACATCAAATAGCTTTTTATTTCCCTCGATCATTAACGGGTTCACCGCATACATCACGGTTTGATCGATGACTGAAAAATCAGTGTGGTTCAATAGTTTCATTCCTGGATGAACGTGACAGCAAATTATTAGATAAACGCTGTTGAGTCCGGAGTATAGACAGGCGGTGTTGATACCTCTCACTATGACTATGATAAGCCGACACTTCAAAAAAGTTGCTGCTTGCCCAATGAGATTTCATAGGTTTGTTTCGCAGATATCCAGTTCTTCGGATCAGATCAAGCGTTCAGGATACCAATTACACCTCGACACCCGATCGAGCTGGTGACCACTGCCACCAACGAGGTGTGGTTCGTAAGTACTCGTACTCTGTTCGTAGGAGCCAGGGTTTAAGGTAAACTGCCCGTGGTTCACCGACCTAGATGTTAGCTTTTTGTTGTTCCACTTCGGTGGGGAAACCAACACGGGAAGGCAGTGAAAAGGCTTCTTCAGAAGAGGCTATCTAGGACCCTTCGTCGAACGGGTTATCGGCAGATGTACGCTGATAAACCGCAGTTGATCTGGCTAAAAAGCGCCAGATTTGAGATGTTTGGGGAACTGTGAAGATTTCAAGGGTCTGAATCCGCGAAAAAGAACATCGACCGCTTTAACTGCGAAAAACGCATTTTTCTTGGAACTGGACTGATTTATGGTAGAATAAATGGGTTCAGCAAGAAAACAGCAAAAACGGAGCTCGGGAAAAATGTGAAAATGCTTGTTTCTTCCAACCCCAGCTCACAGAAGAAAAAGTATCACTGTTTTTTACCTCCATGGTAGGAAGACAAAAAAATGTCGAGCGTTTTGAGGGTCAAGTAACCGACGTGTTGACATAGCAACATAGCGACCGGATTTCCTCACCAAATGCAAAGACGAATCAGGAAGGCTTGTGAACTGTGATGATGCTTTGCTGTCTGATAGTTTCATCTGGTAAATGTGTAAATGAATCACAATTGAAATTTCTACCCAGCAGTATGTTTCTAGTTAGGTGAGTCATCTGGTAACACGAAATGCCTGAAAAGCTAATGAGGATACAAACCATCAAGACCCTCAAACTAACGCAATGTCAGAGGTGGGTAGAATCAGAATCCTGGTCTCAATTGGTCGTGGCCAATCCTGTCGTACAAACTGAACCGTACTCACAGGTCTCCTCGACTTGGTAACGACTAATCTACAGCAGGACGTTCTCCTTGAAATCATAAGCGCCAGCTTTGGCTTCAGGCGTGTAATATCGGAGGTGTATATTGCTCTTTAAGTTATGATAGACTTAAAAATAGCTATGGAAGACAAGAGAGGCGTACGAAATGTGGATGACCATTGTGTTTAGTCACACGTTCAGTGTCATCACAAATTCGGAATCGGTAACAGGTCCGGGTTTATGTCATCTTCATGAATGCCACTTGCGACTCTATTTAAACCCTACTTGAATGAAAGAAAACATTTTATATAGTTCTGGCCAACTACAACTTGTTATTGTGTAAGATGAATCTTCGCTGCTTCCATTATATGTGATGCCCAATGTGATTGTTCTTAGGTTATAAATAAAGTCTGCTANNTAAGATTTGCAAAGTAACCTTACAGACGATGACTTTGTATGCGACTCCTTATAACCTATGCCAGCCTGGAATTTAATGTGCGCCCCCATAAAGCGTTTACCAATCCACATTTTGTCCTTTATCATGGTTCTATACAATCAGCACTACATAAAGGACCTCTTTTGTGGAGAAAATGAAAGAAATGTTATATTGAATAAAGTGAGATAATAAATCACAGGACAGTGGAAGCGGGATTGGAATTGGACTCCGTTACATCACTCTAACGGAGCTGTTGTCGTAACGCTGTCAATCGGTCGTACATAGTGCGATTAGATCTTCCCACGTGTTCTTGAATCAAGCACAAGTCATTATCTGATTGTTCCCGAACAGCGACCTGAATCGCCTCCTCGACTTGGCTGAAAAAAATCAAGGCATATCCCATAACACATATGTAAATAAAGGGCACGTAAAACAGAGAACAATAGACGACACTACCTACCGCGGCACTCAGTAAGGAGAGAAATCATACATCGATCATTCGAAAGGCACACTTACCCGCACAGTAACCAGAAGCGCACTCGACGCTCGGCTGGAAGCTGAGGCACCAATTTCTGTGCTTCTTCAAAGTGGTTCTGATCAATGCAAATTTGGATCAAAGTCTAAAAAGCACAATAAATATCATACTTTTACTACCCTGTATGACATTTTTCACAGATAATTCCCCCCATGGATACTTGATAAACAGCTTCACTATCGTCCGGTTCAATACCACTACTATCCTGATGCGACGTATTCCGGCCTTTGAAGTCCAACTCTTAGGCTTTTAGTTATCACGAGTGGACAGCGGGCAGGTCCTCGTTGCCAAGGGATCGACTACATCTGCTTTTTATCCCATATTACGCAATGGAAAAATTCTAGTATGAAGTCTCATGCTTTGAACTGTCGACAGCTCAGTTTTACACAACTACTCAGTGTACTGGTTGCATGTAAATGGAGCAGTTGATAGCAATTACTCTCTGCGAGCAGCTCTGAGACAAATAAGCTGTTTTGACCTTTGATTTATCTTACACTAACTTAGAGTTTGACCGACTGAATGCGATGTACAGGCTCTTTGGACAAATAACCAACTCTTCATGTGTCCAAAGGTGTTAGGGTTTTTTCCTTGAGTCAATTCACATGCAATGTTTGTGTTGTAAAAAAAAAATAGATTTAACCTCGTTCTGCAACTTCGAATACACTAATTCAGTGGTCTGAACTCAATGAAGTGCATGATGTCACTGTATAAAAAAACTGACATGACATGCAAAGGGTTTGTGGTAGAAATTCAATGGTTGTACGCGTTTGACAGTCATCAGAAGTGATTGATGAATCTCCAAGTAATGCAAAACCGGTCATCAATGTTGAATATCAAAGGATTACGTGTGAAGTTTCCCCTGACCTATCAGGCGTATACGAACTTTTCCGAGATGACATGCTGTGTGAGAGAGACATGCGTGAGATGTTTCTTTCTCTTAAGAATCAGTCACGACAAATGTTTGACATTTCCTTCTGAAGACATGGGCCAAGTGTCTCATTAAAAAATGCCACTACCAAACAAAGTCAATAAATTCTCTATATACCTCAATGTGAACCGGTGGTTTAGACATTTTTGACATTTTCTCAACTTCGCGCCAACAATCATTCTGAACAGCTAAACCAATGAGCCGCAAGTGAGCATATCGTTTCTCCGAGACACGGAATTCACGGCGTAACTGTTCCGCCCATCGTTCGCCATGGGGAACCGCTAACAAACGAGCCAAGGTGGTATTCAAAGATTCTCCGACCCACACAAGTTCACGAGCATCTCCTTCAGAGGACACCACGGTAGGTACAATCAAGGGACTAGTGCCCAAAGTGGCGTTGGTTGTACTTCCTTGCGGGGCGAGCTGAAGTACTGGGGTCCGGACTTGCTGCTTTTGTAGCTTACTCTGGAAACGAAGCAACCGTACAGCTGCATTGCATTCCTATAATTGGGA